TGCTGGGTAGTGTCTGGGTCGTGGTAGGCAAGCAATCATTATTTGTCACATCATAAAGAGTATCAAGTGTGTCCACTGTCTAGACCGCAAGTGTTCTGTCACCCAGTGTGAGTAACTGGGGTAAGGGAGGACAGTGACTTGTACAGGCAATAAACACTTCTGTCCAAAAGATGTTCAGTCACAATGAGTAAGATCACCTCAGTGTGTCTTCTTGTCTTTATTCTGTTTCCTTTCCTTCGCATAACAGATTGAGGCCCATTTTCTGCAGAAAACCTTTACTGACTTTCTAACTTACAATCTGTTAGCCAGTCCCCTTCTTCCTCAGACATTTCCTGTTATCACTGTGATTGTAGCCATAAGTACATGTTCTTAGATTTTATAGTCAGTCTCCTATTTTGGCCACATTGTGTTCTTAGAAATCATGTCTTTCATAAAACAGAACATTTTATCCTCTACTGACAATGTTGTAATTAATTTTTAAAAGGTTTTTGCCACAGGGTAAAAACAGACAGAGGCAGAGAGAAGAGAAGTGAGAAATCACCCTCCGGGGGGATGACCACGCCGCAATCCCTTCTCCTCCATTCTCTTCCTGAGATTTTGAATACATGCAGACATGTGTCTGGCACGATTTTCAAGCTGGTTGGTCCAGGGCTTGAACCACTGTCTGTCGTGTGGAATTCCAACACCTTAGCCACCATGCCTTTTGCTGGCCCTGAATATTGTAATTAAAATAAAGGGCTAATAAGGTTCATTATAAAATAAATAGACATGTCAAAAGACACAGCTACAATCATAATCCTCTAAAACACTTTAAAATAGTAAAACCACATTGCAAATTCTATATAAAACAGTCATAAATACACATGGATTATACAAGGATGCCTGGAATTACGTAATATATATATATAAAAGCATAGAATGACAATTTCCTCTATCATAAATTTTTTTCTAAAACCAATATACAATTTATGATGAATATCTTCAACACATTAATGAATTTCTTTGGCTTTTAAATTACAAATGAAGTGTGGAGGATTATTTAGGTACTTTCGATCTCTTTTTTAAAAAGTCAGCCACAAATAGTTTAAAGTGATGCTCTTTCTGACCTTCATATGTTGTCTTCTTCAAAGCAGGAGCTTTCCTAGTGATTCAATTGATTCTGTAGTTGCACCCAAATTAATAGACTTCAGAGATGTTCTCTATCATCTGACAATGATGATGTTTCTCTCCCCCTTGGCAAAGATGACCCAATATCCTCTTTTCTCTTTCTTTATTTAAAGGCATAACTGCTCAGAAGACAAAGCCAGAGATAGAAAAAGACACACACTAGCCTTAAATCACTCGAACTCTATTTCCTTCTGTGAGTGAGTCTTTCTGGATTTAATCTTTATTGTAAAAGCAATAAAACAATTGCTGATTGCGTGCAAACTCTAAAAAAAAAAAAAAAAAAAAAAAGACTTCAAAATGTCCGCGACATGATTTCTAAAAGTTCTGTCTATCTGTGCATAAAATTCACCAAAACATTTTATCAATGTTTATTGAAGGCCTACTGTGTGCCAGGCCTGATGTGGAACTCAGGTGATGCTGAGAAAAAAGTATCACAATTTGCCTTTAAGAAATGACTGTGAGGTTTGGGTGTTGGAGCAACAGCACCTGAATCTAGTCATGAGAACTTCCTATACAGGATGGTAGTAGATTTCAGCACTCCTTCTCTCAAATATTTTGGTCCTCTGACCAATGTGTTGGAAGGACATTTAGATACAGTTATACAATAAGCCTCTATGTTTTCTAGTGAGAATTGGAATTTGCTTCCTGTGTAATTAAGAAAAATCTTATAATCCCATTAAAAACATAAATAAGATTATTGTGATGTTGGGTAAATGACGATATTATAGGCAACAGGGAATCCGGTTAAGGAACTCCAAGGAGGAGACAGTAATGAGGAAATGCGCCCTTTTGCCTCGAAGTATGGGACATATTGAGTAATGGTTTAAGGAGGAACCAGACTGAATAGACTAGCCCAGACTTATATGGTTTAGCTAATATTTTCTCTCTGAATTTTCAAGTTTTTTTTCTTTTTTCAGGAGGTATCAAGTTCATACTTTGATGAAAATAATACATGTCTATGTGCATGATAATTTGCTAGGAGAAACAAATAGCATCAGGGATAAGATTATCTCCAAAAATTCTGTTAAAACACAAGATCTGCAAACAAAGAATTAAGCAATCCAGACGTTAATGATGGTACGGAAGTTTGTTTGTCTGTACAGTTGCTGCTGTGCAGCAGACTTATCCACCTTTCTCAACTCACAAAATGATTCTCCCATGACTTTTTGATAAGCAAGAATACAACCAAAATCAAAACTCTAGAGGTTTTCTTTTTTCCCAGAGGCCACAGAGTCCTGTATTTGAAACCATTACTCTGAACTTGTAACATATATATCTTTTGCACAGAATACATTTCTAAAAATAAGATATGAACTCAATGGAAAATTAAACGAAAACATGAGCTGTCTCCATAAGCATAATGCTCTAGAAATGAACATATTTGCAAATAATCAAGGAGACCAGAGAGTTACCACCCCCTTCATTGTGATATCTTCTTGCTTCTCCTCCCTCCAGGTCAGCCTTTATGTGCCTTCTCCAATTTTTGGAACTGGACAAATGTCTCCCTTACTAGACTTCTTTCAATGAGTGGCTCCCTTTCATGTTCAGTAAAAGCTGAACTCTTCAGCTTGGCACATAGGCCTCTCAAAGTTCATCTCCCACCACTTCTCAGCACACACCCTGTATTCTCATCACCTGCACCCTTCATTGAGCATGTAATACATATATCTTTGTGCTTTTGCATAGAAAATACCTTCTGCTTGGAAAAATGTTTAGAAGTCACCTGTTCCAAGGGATCTTTTTCTAATTTTGCAATGAAAAGAAGTCATTTTGCACAAGGGACCTCTATGATATCCTTGTCAAAATGCTTCACCATTATTTATCCAAACTGAACTCTTTCTTTTTATGCCAAAGTTGCTGCCATGCCCTCAGAGTTTGATATTGAAAATAGAGTGGTCAAGCACTACCTTCTTCCAACTTGAGAAGTTAGATCTACTGGGATTGCAAAGGAACTGCATAAAGGATGGCTTTGTGAACTCATTTGCTACCTTTAAAATATAAAAAAGTTAAAAGATTCAGAGTAGGAAAGATGATTTTTCAAAAGCATTGCAATATGTGCTGTATGTTTCTCTCCCCAAGCCCACAATGAGGGGATGGAGGGAGGGATTTTCCTCTCTCCTTGTCAAGCAAGAGGACCATTCAAAAGAAAAGCAGAAGTCCTATGAGGTTTGAGGGGCAAATCAATGATCACCAGTTTTATGCCTGAGAACGATGAGGGCAAAAACTACGAATAATGAGAACAAAAACTCCCTGTTAGGAGATCAGAGGGAGCCAGGTCTTTACTGAGCATATGCTACACTTGTGTTTCTTGACCAGACAAGGGACCCATGAATCAGAGCAGCCTGTAGCCATTTTGAACCAAGAAGATGACAGAAGAGAAAGTTCTGACTCCAATAGAGGAAGTGTGAGAATGAATGGCAAGGAGCAGAGAGGAGTCAGAAGCCAGAAGAGAGGCATTACACATGTCAAAGGGGCTATTCAGAAGATTCCAGTTGGAGTCTGGATTCCACAAAATCACCCATGATAGGAAAAGTCAGCTCTAACACCTCCAAGACCGGAGAGCACCAACGCTCACAAGGGCACTTGGTAGGCAAGATGCCTTCTACTTATTTATCTCTGACTTTCATGAACCTCAACCCTGGAGGAGATAAGAGTGATGGGGAGGGACAGAGACAGAAGTGCAAGAGGTGGAGACAGTTGAGAAACTGTCCCTGATCCTCTTCCTCACACCTTCTCTCCAGCCCAAGGCAGCCACAAGTGGGGGAGCTGAAAAGCTTTAGTTGTGAATGACATTTGGATTATTGAACCAAGTCAGACTAAGTCATTAAACGAAAATCAGACTGCTCTTGTGACTAACAGAAACAGTGGGACTTTTCATTAAGAATATTCATAAAAGTTTATGGGATCTATTCAAGATTTCTTCCACTTGGTCCAGCCTCTGTGGCATCGTAGGTCAACTGTGGCTCAAGTCTCTGACCTGAAATCCCTAGCATTCTGGAGAGCTGGAGGACTGGAGGAAGGGACCATGGCATGACTAGGCCCTGTGAGTATGCTTCTCTTTTCTTCTCTCCCATGTACCTGTGCTTTATCATGAAGAAGAAGAGAAGAAAAAGAAGAAGAGAAGAAGAAGAAGAAGAAGAAGAAGAAGAAGAAGAAGAAGAAGAAGAAGAAGAAGAAGAAGAAGAAGAAGAAGAAGAAGAAGAAGAAGAAGAAGAAGAAGAAGAAGAAGAAGAAGAAGAAGAAGAAGAAGAAGAAGAAGAAGAAGAAGAAGAAGAAGAAGAAGAAGAAGAAGAAGAAGAAGAAGAAGAAGAAGAAGAAGAAGAAGAAGAAGAAGAAGAAGAAGAAGAAGAAGAAGAAGAAGAAGAAGAAGAAGAAGAAGAAGAAGAAGAAGAAGAAGAAGAAGAAGAAGAAGAAGAAGAAGAAGAAGAAGAAGAAGAAGAAGAAGAAGAAGAAGAAGAAGAAGAAGAAGAAGAAGAAGAAGAAGAAGAAGAAGAAGAAGAAGAAGAAGAAGAAGAAGAAGAAGAAGAAGAAGAAGAAGAAGAAGAAGAAGAAGAAGAAGAAGAAGAAGAAGAAGAAGAAGAAGAAGAAGAAGAAGAAGAAGAAGAAGAAGAAGAAGAAGAAGAAGAAGAAGAAGGATTTCATTCACTTTCTATGCAGGGAATATATAACCCACAGAATGGGAATAGAAGACCTGCACAGAGAGGGATTAGAATCCCACCCCCAACACCTCCCAATCCAATACCTTTTCTTCTGTTCTTCTCTCAGGATCTTGGGCACTCACGCACACACACCCAGTGTGAATTTGAAGCCCCTGGGTCTGGGACTCGAACTGCAATCAACTACATGGCAGTTCAGCAACATAAACATTATGCCATCTGCTGGTCCCAGCAAACGAGTTTTAACGTCATCAATATGACACTTGTTAGAGCTGGCATTGCATGGGTTAGTATACACAACTGCTTTTCAATCCTAGTAACACCTGGTGTCCTTGATCTTGAGAGTATTTTCTTCATTGCACCTGAGCTTATTAACCTGGATGTCTGGGTCTCCTTGCATCATCTCCTCAAAGAGGAAACTTGTTTCCCTGATGGGTGGAGGCAGAGCGGTTGCTTTGTTCCATGAAGTAGCAATTTTTTTTTTTCCAGGAAGTAGCAAAGAGTTATGGCTGGGGGGGGGGAACTGCTCTTGTATGGACACTCATCTGTCTTTCGCTATCAGTCACCTGCACCCTCACTTTCAGAGGTATCGAGGACTCTCATTCCCAAATCTTTCTGAAATTCTAGCATAACTTCCTTCTGATCTCCTCCCAAAGCTGTTTCAGCTTCTTTAGCTTGACTAAATCAATTACCCCTGATTTTTCAGCTTCCAATATTTTGTTGCTTTTGCTTCCTTTAATCTTTGTATTCTTATGCCTTAAACAAAGTCTTTTATCAACATTTAGGCAAGGGGCAGGAGAGACTGGGAAAAAGCTATAATTAATATGAGTATTTGGCCCAGTCATGGTGGCACACAAATATCATCACCACTTGGGAAGCTAGAGGCTGCATGGGAGGCCCAGGCATGGTTCGTGGGCTAACCTAAATATGCAGGGCACAGTTGTATATACCTTTCTATTAGTTAATTGGGGGGCTGGGACAGGAGGATAATGACACAATAATCTCCTGAAAAAAGAAAAGCTTATCTATGTCTTTTTCCCTTTCCCTCTCTCTCTTTCTCACGAAGGAAAAATATGAGCACTCAACTTGCCATGTATAACCTGAAGTAGGTATAATTATTTTCCTTTTTTATATTCACATATACATAACTACTTTTATAATCAGAAAAAAGAATTAGAGTTGTAAAACAGAATTGATTTGCAAATATAAAATGCACATGTCCATAGTTTTCTATATTTAAAGTTAATAATAATAAAAAGTATTGCAAAAAACCACAAAATTATGTAGCGAACAAACATTTCAGCATTTTGGTAAAGTGGTAATCACTAGGTGCTGAGTCTATCGGTGAAGGCTTCTTGGTGGAGGTAGTCATTTTTCAGGGTTCTAAACAATGGATAGATTTTGGATTCCTTAAGGGTAGAAAGTGGGTTTCTATTTAATTAATTTATTAGCAATCATGTGTAATTTGGTGCATTATCTACTTAGAGTAGCCATTGCTTTGGCCTTCTCAACGTGTTCTCCTTTTCTCCTTCCTCTCACGTAGAGACAAATCCTTGCTAGTGGAGAATAAAGTGAGCACAACAGATCAGAGCAGAGCTTGGAAACAGAGAAGACTGGAGTCAAGACCTGAGCCTGATTCAACTATATCTGAGGTCAGAATGCCCAGGACTTACAACTTGAAGGGGTCCACCTTTTTTTTTTTTTTTTTTTTTTTTTTGCTTAAGTTAGTTCTAGTTGGATTTCTATCATGTGTATCATAAAGAGCCCTAACTAATATGACAGGGTAATAAGATTATATTTAACTCTGACTTTTAAAAGAACACCACAGTGCACAGAGCTAGAACTCAATTTATAGTCTAACAAAATTACAACTTGCGGGTTGTTTCTCATTATGCTTATTGGTTGTAGATAATTCTTATCCTTTGACTCAAGGCAAAATGGGAACAGACTAATGTCTGCATTTTCCCTTTGGAGCTTGTTATTTTTCTCATAACAGATGAATTATTTGTAAGCAAAAATTAAAGATAAAAATCAATTCCCATCCTCTTGAAAAAAATGTGGTAAGCACATCCCTAGAGTTATGAGAACTGCAGAGTAATTCATCTATAGAGTGCTTCTGGAAGGCAGAGCCCACCAATTCCCCATAATTCAGAGTGAAGGGAACTGATGCTTTTATGCTTATACAACAGAAATTTTTTTCTACAGCAGTCAGGGAAAACAGCAAATCTGTAGGTGACATACCAAATCATTTAATTATTTAATTATAGCTAATTAATAAGCACACACTATACGTCTACTGCTGTTTTCAGAGCTTTTTTTTTTTTTGGAGAGGTTTTTCACTATAAGAGCGCGTGCGCTCACCAGACAGACAGAGAGAGACAGAGAGACAGAAAGCGAGAAGTCACCCCCCAGGGGGGATGGTCACGCCGCAATCCCTTCTCCTCCATTCTCCTCTCGGGATCTTGGGCACGAACGCACACGCGCCCGGCGTGAGTTTTAAGCCACTGGGTCCCGGACGCGAACCGCGGTCGACTACGTGGGAGTCCCGCAACATAGTCATTACGTTAACTGCTGGTTCCCTTCAGAGCTTTTTTATGTATTACATAAACCCAAAGGTAAGTACTATTATTGTCATCAGGTCCAGTTGCAGATGAGAAAACTAAGGCATGAAGTTGTTAAACTGGTATAGGCACCTAGTCAGTCTGATGCTGGTATGGTATGCTCTTAATCATTGCACTACAATACTCTGGGTTATTAGTCAACTTCTAGAAGTACCCTTTTTATTCCAGCAAGTCTCGTGTCTCCACTGACAAACCAAGAGATTTGGGTTTTAGACAAGGGACAGAATTACCCAGATAATCAGAAAAAGGGGAAGGAAAGCAATTTCTGCATGAAAGGTGATCCAGGACCTGCAGTTTATTATTGAACCATCACAGGTGACCATGCATGACCCAGGCACACAGGAGTGTATTCCTGAAAAAACAGTCAACCTGGTGGACTGGATAAAAGCCATTGTAAGTGTGTTTATCCTGAGAAGGGGGACTATTTAACTTCCCAGAAATGCCAAGTGGAACACTCCAGTGAAAGTAGCTAATTTGTTTCATATGTACAAAACCATGTGAGACTGACTTTATTATTATTGGGACATTCACCCACTTAATATACTTGTTATTCAGGTCATGGCAAATGCTATAAAAGGGACCCTCTTATATGGGCATCCCACTTAGTCTTACTGCTGCAAAATTCAACAATCTTATGAAAAGCTTTATCAGTTTGTGTCTCACTGTCCCATATAGGTCTTACTGATACCAATATTGTTAAAGTAATTAGCAAAACAAAACAAAACAAAAACCTGGAAGAATCAAAAGTGATCTAGGGCTTTGTCCCCAGAAAGGTGTTAAGTCTTTAGATGGTTTTTGAGAAATGAGATGAATGTGTTAGACATTGATGGTATTGAAACAAAGGTATTGATACATTACTGTCAAGGCTGGGTGTACCAATGAGACCCTCCGCTGTCCGCCAACGTTAATGGGCCCCAAACAAGTCCTCTTTATTTACCTCACCTTGAAGGAATTTTAACCTAAGGGGGGACCAGAAACTTGGTGTAATGGCTATGTCACTGGATACCCATGTAGTCGACCACGGTTCGAGTCCTGGACCTGGGGGCTTAAACTCACGCTGGGTGTGTGTGCATGAGGGCCCAAGATCTTGAGAGGAGAATGGAGGAGAGGGGATTGTGGTGTTGCCCTCCCTCTGGGGGGTGATTTCTCCCTTTCTGTCTCTCTGTCTCTCTGGTGAGCCCTATAGCAAAAACCTCTCTGAAAAAAAGAAAAACTTAAAGGCAAAGTTTAAGCTTTAAGCTCCAGTTTTCTCTCTGGAGAGATGTTCAAGATGTCATGAACCACTAAAGGGCAGCTAACCCAAACTTGAAGGTTCAGAGACATTTCCCTGAAAGAGGTCATACTCAAGTTGAGAGCTGAAAGATGAAAGAGAATTAGCCAGGAAAGGAAGGGGAGGGTTGGAAGTAGAGATTCTAGGCAGAGGCACTAACATGAGCAACTAATTAAAACATGAACTGAGTGCTTACCATGTGCTTAGCACAATGCTGGTATTTTAACTGTGGTTTTTGTGATGATCTTATTTTTCTCATTTATAGATGAGAAAACTGAGGGCTAAAGAGGTTAAGTGAATTGCCTGAAATTATAGCTTATGAGTGGTGGGTCTAAGATTCAGATCCAGGCCAGCTAGTGGCGTGTGGTTAAGGCAACTGGATCCCACATGGCCATTGGGGACCGTTTGTGTCTCAGACCTGGTGGCTTGAAGAAATACACCACGCGCATGCACATGCATACCCAAAATTCTGAGAGGAGGATAAAGGAGAAGAGATTGTGGTGTGGCCTGGCCAGCCCCACTGGGGGTGATTTTTCCCTCTTTCTCCTTCTCTATCTGTCTCTCTGTGGAGAACACACATACTCTACAGTAAACTAAAAAAATAAAATAAAGATTTAAACCAATTCAAAATCATGTTTTAGTTGCTAGAACAAAGCAAAGTGCAGTAAAGAACAAAACAATTCCTGCCTCCCATGGAGTGAACATTCTGATGCTCTTATTATGGAAGTGAATCTGGAGCAGAGACACCTGACATATTCAGTAAACGAAAGGCTCCTTCATCCCCAAAGGAATCTTGGGAGTTTGCCACCATAATTCCTTATTGAGTGTTGGTAGAACTATTGACATGCCAGGGTTGGTCCCTGAGTTTGTCTTTGAATTTTACGGACATTCATACACCACTTTAAAAAGCTGATGAGATTTATCTCTAATTTAAAAATTTCTCTGACAAGTATTTCATCTGTTACAAGAGAAAAATAAGTTCCAAAGGGGAAAATGAGCACATTGCTGTACTCCATGTCCGAGAAAGCAAAATTAATACTTATTTGCTGCCAATATGTTTAATTAGGGTAGACAGAGAGAAGTACCACGTAAATTGTGTTTTTGTTAAAAGTCCCTGAAAGAAATAGACATGATATTGAGTGGTCAGAAATCTATGTTCCAGGAATTATTTTTAAAATATACTGACTCTGTTTTATAAGAAGAGGAATTTATAAGAAGAGGAATTCAGAGACCAGAGTGGGAGTTTAGTATCATAAATATTCTGTAGATTTAAAAATATGGTTCTTTAAATTTATCATTCCCGTATAGCAAGGATAGAAGATTTTATAATAGTGGACACAAATATTCTTGGTTCTTTACAAATATTGTTTAAATTCTGTTCTTTTTTCTAGCTAAATTGCTGAGTTAAAACTATATCATAAAAATAATGTACTTTGATTTATATAATAGGTCATCGGGAAACTTTTGATGTATTTTTCTATTTTTTTAATGCAAAAATGCATCATGACTTTCCTGACTACCCAATAATATTAGTAATAATATTTTATAACTGCTGAGCTGATTATACTTATATGTTATTTCATTATATACTCCCAACCCTGTGAGATACACATTATAACTGATACCAATTTAGATATGAGGAAATTATGTTCAGGAACGTTATATGATTTTTTCCCAGTATAGTTGGAGCCCCAAATTGGGAATTCTGACTACAGGTTCTGAGCTGAGTGGGCGTAATGATTTTGAGGATGGGCCATAGAATCAGTTGGACATGTAGCTATTCCTCAAATATATCCTTGCAAATTACTTAACCTTATCAATCATCAGTTTCCTCTTCTGTGAAATGGGTATAATACCATATACTTCATAACTTTGTGGTGATGATTAAATGAGATTATTACTAAATGTGAAGCACTTACTTGGCATATAGTATATATACTCAATAAATATTTTTAGTATTATTTATAAAGAATAAAGTAGTAAATAAAAATAGTGACTTAATGCCATCTTATTTGGGGAGGAACAATAGATTTCTTCAAGATAAAAAATAGTAGTTCTTAAGCCAGCTTTGTGGCCTCATGGTTAAGGCAGCTGGATCCCACTTGGCCGACCTTGTGGTTTGAGTCTTGGACCTGGCAGTTGAAAAACATGCTGGGTGCATGTGTGTGCATACCCGAAATCCTAAAAGGAGGGAGAAATGGAGAAGAAAAGATTGTGGTGTGACCATGCCCCATTGGGAGGTGTTTTCTTCCTCTCCATTTTCTCTGTCTGTCTCCCTCTGGTGAGTGTATGTATCCTCTGGCAAATTAAAAAAAGAAAGAGAGAAGAAGAAATAGTGTTTCTCAAGTGGGAACAATTTTGTCATCCCACCATGGGACATTTGGCAATGTCTGGAAACATTCTTGGTTGTCACATGTGAGGAAGTACTATTGGCGTCTAGTGGATAGATGCCAAACATGCTGTTAAGTGTCCTTCAATTCTTCCCAACAGATAATTCTTAGGTCCAAATGTCAATAAATGCTGAGGTTCAGAAATCTTGCATTAAATTAAGGATTCATTGAGAGTCATGTGAACACCACTTCTGCAAGCACAGAATTTGAAAATAGGAGACACTATTATCTTTGCAAGTGCAGAACACAAAAATAAGTTTAAGGAAATGACATGGCTTGTGTTGGACATAAGAGTAGAATGATCACCTGGAGTTTTTAATTTGAAAGAAAACTTAGGAGTTTAAGAAAAGTTCTTTGTAGTGTAGGGAGAACAGTTTCGAAACTTATAATTTATGGTTT